CCTAGTATATTATGTTATATTGTATTTTATATTCAATTCATAAATTGTGCACTTGGATTTTATGTACTTGCAGTATGAATTTAAGGGTTTAGGCAACCTTGTCCTCCCGAGTTGTTGGGTTAGGCTGGTTTTATCCCCCCATTATAACTTTTCATAATATTTTAATAAATCTCCGTGGCACCGTCCACGTTCTGTCATAAAAAAGAAAAAAATAGTTTTATTGTTATGTTTACCTACATAGTTACCTTATACTTTTTAAAGGTAAGATTTAATAAAATAAATGTTTTTGTTTTATTATTGTTTAAATATATTTCAATTTGTTCATATTAATTTGAATGTTATATGTTAGTATATATGCATTATATAATTAATATTTTATTTAAATACTAATGAATGTAATAATTAATGTGTTGGTCATAATGGCTCGAGGTAGGGGTTATGGTTCGGATATCGATTAGTCGGATAGTGATCGTGGATGTGGACACCATTCTCATTCCGTTCATGATCCGATGGGTCCCGAAACGAATATGCCTCCGTACCACTCTTTTGGTGGCCCTTCGACATACCGTTCGATACTCGACATGTCTCGGCCTTAGCCATTTCTTATTATGGAGCTCCACGTCCTCCCTCATCTTTTCCTTCATCGTCGTCGTTGCCTTCATCATCACATCGGGACAACCATTTCGTTTCTCAACACGTTCCACCCCACAACGTCCTGCGTCAATCGACTTTGAAACCTATCATACCTGCGGTTGACCAGCCGCATTAGGGTCATTGTCGTTGGTCGCAATGAGTACGATTTATATTTAATTTTATGAAATATTTTTTTATTACCGTTATTATGTACTCGATTATTTATTAATTTAATTAATGTTTATTTTTTATAAGTTGTATCACTCGATGTTTACTCTCGCACGATCGTTAAAACATTCCGGAAGTATGTTCATATTTCGGGATGGATGTGGAAGAAAATGAGTCCAGAGCAAAAGACTTTTACCGAGAAGAATTTAAGGTACTAATTTCTAAATTTAATTTGATTATATTATTTAATATTTAATTAAATAACACAAAATAATATGCAAATAAATTTAGTAATGATTATTATTATTATTATTTTTTTTTGCAAAAATCATTTAAGTGGGATGATAATTTGAATGAGAGCATAGTTAAGAAAGCATGGGAAAGTCTCACACGGAAGCAATATTCGACTTTCTTTGTCGTCTAAAGAAAAATCGAAGCCATCATTTATCTCGGAGGAAATATGGGATGCATGGACTACGGAATGGACGAAACCCGAGGTCGTTACCCATATCCGAGATGGCGACACGGAACCGTAGGAGCGAGGCCGGTGGCGTCGGAGCCGGTCCTTCTAGACATACTAGGGGATCAATCGGCCATAGAGAGCACGCTATATGCATGATAAATAAATAAATATTAATTAATTAATTTATATTTTTTAAAAAATAATATCCAAAATAATTAATTAAAAATTTGAGTATATTTAATACATTTACGTTTATTTATATATGGTTTCGAGCATAATGTGTTGGGTCTCGAACCTAATCCTCACGAGGTTTTCTTGAGGACTCATCGGAGAAAGGTTGATGATCGGCTTGTCTTTGTTGATCAATGGTTGAGGGTTATTAGTGTAAGTGATAAGTTTGAAACATTATTTAATATTTATTAGTTAATAACGTTATTTGACATACGTATTTAATATGATGTGTTTCACAATTATGCAGGAGACTATACAAAGATTAATTAATGAGGAAGAGGTTGCTAGCCAACGGTCGGGAGGGACTCGAATCGATCGGACCCGACATTAATGACATATTTTGGAGGGCCGTTGGTGGAGGAGATAGTAGGAGGAAGAGGATGTACGGACTCGGGTCACATGCATCTCACTATTATTCTATTGTCGGTGCGGGCTCAACTTCGCTACTTCTAGATTCAATGCAGTGACGAGGCACAACTTAAGGAAGTACAAGAGCAAACATCCGCAAACACGACACACATCCATAACTTACGAGTGCATCGTCAACGACCTACGAGCCTAAGTGGCATCGTTGTTGGATATGACAAATGAGTTGAAAAACTATAGTCGACATCGGTTTATGATGATATTACGGATGCAACGGATGTTCATGTGGCATTTTGATCATCGTCGGTAGTTCATCCGTCGTTCCTAAGACCGATCACGACGCAACCCGGCCTCCGGACGACTCCACCCAACCTCCGAGTGATCCTGGACATTAATTTATTTTAGCTTTTATGTTTTCTTGTATTAGTTGTAACCTATGTACTCGTTTTTAGTTATTTAATAATCACATAATATTTAACGACGTTTTAATACATTTTGAATAATAAAAAATTATGTTTATGATATTTTATCGATTTTGATTATTTTAAAATTGTTACTTTTAGCTCATTTTATTTTGGTTGGAAAAAAAATTTAATTAAACAATTAGTGACGATCTTAGCAATAATCCATACCGTCGCTAAAGATAAAGAAATTAGAAACGGTCTAGGACCGTCGCAAGTCCATCACTATTTAGCAACGGACTTACCAAGGGCTTAATAGATCGTCGCTAATTTCGTAAGTATTTACAGCAAAATTTAGCGACGGATAATTTTTTTTTGCAACGGTAAAAACCGTCGCAAAATTTTACCGATGAGCTTTTTAGCGACGGTCTTTTGACCATCGCTAATGCGTCACAAATTCATTTTTACGATGGTTTTTTTTTAATTTAACAACGGTTTTGACCGTCACTACTTAGCATTTATGTTGTAGTGTATACAGATCACACCATGTGACTCAACAAGTTTAGAAAAAAAATTTCCTCCTTTTCCTTCCCTTATATACATAAGTTTTGAACCCCATATTAGGAGGGAGTCAAGCTAACAAAAATAAGTCATTTTGATTATATGAAAGATCTTATAACGATTAAATTTGTGTTATGTGGGATGTCGAGTTTGAGAAGTCTCTGCTGCAATTATAAGGGAGAAAAAAAGAATAGTAGCCCTAAAAGAGGAGTTTTTAGAATCCTTAACTCCATGTTTCATAATTGTTTATACAATCATTAGACATTAGGTTTCATGGTGAGAAGGATAGGATCGTCGTTTTTTGTCTTTTTTTGTTGTCAACATGCCTAGATCTTGATTAAAGAATAAATGTTTCTAATATTGATAGATCATTGTTGATCAAACATAGTTGTTGTCAATTGAAAAAAATGATATTGGGGCGTATCTTTATTTAATGTGTATTATCAAACTATTGTCTCACTCAAAAGATTAACTTATTTGGTGATACCTCATTATATGTTTTATACTATTTTCTAATGCACTTGCTAAAATGAAAACTTTTGGTTTTGAAATTTTTATATATCCACCTACACCACCTTGTGCTATTATATTTTTAATTAGAAGAAAAAATAGAGATGGTGATATTCGAATTTGTGAACTATTTGGTTATCAAAACTCGACACTATATTGAATTAGATAGTTGAGACCGACTTTCGTGATGATATTTGAACTCATAACTCGTTTAGTCATAAAAACTCGACGTCATATTGAATTAGATAGTTAAGATTGAGTTTTATCTAAAAAACTCAAACCTTGTTATAACCGATAATTTTTCAATTTTATATATTACTCATTTATTATTTGTTTATTCAATGTAAGAGATACCGCATTAAGTTAAATACTTAAAATTAAGTTTTATTAAAAAAACTTAAATTTTATAATAAATATATTATTTATTTATTTAATATAAGATAAATTCTCTGATATATACTATATGTTCTTCTGGTTGGTGGAAAATATGTCGATACATACATATATATATATATATATATATATATATATATATATATATATATATATATATATATATATATATCATCTAGCATCATTTAATAAACATGGTATGTATGCTATTCTTCTATTTGGCAAGTACAAGAACGTGAGAGGGGCATCTTTTGTTAAATAGTTTCAATTAATCCGTAAAATAATTTCAAAATATATTTTACCGTCAAATAAATAAATAAAACTGAAAGCTGGCCATGCATATAGAACATACATACGTAAGAATACTTTGCCGAAAGAGTTGTTGTTGTTGTGTTCTTTTTTTTTTTTTTTTTTAAAGAACAACAAGGGGCCAAATCGATTTTCATTATGACATTATCTTCAAACACTCGCATCAGGGCGCAAAGCTTGGACCCAGATGGCTCATAATGACTGAGGTCCAGCATCAGTATCATTGATAGAGCTAGCTGATCTTCCTGAAAGAAAAAAGGAAAGATAATAGATAGAGCTGGATTCAGGAGTTGATTGTTGAAAGACTACTTTCAATCCTGGTTCAGTAGAGCAACAAAATTCAGATGTCTGAAGACTACTATTTTCATGCTCTAAAAATAGGTTGATGTCAATTCAGTGTCCTAACACTCTTGACTTGTGGAGAACGTTTGGATTGTAGCTAGAGACATTTTGCAGTTATTTAGGAGCACGACTAGTTTTCTTCAAATAGATAGCTAATTAGTATTTCTACCTATCTGTCTTACCTCTTCAAGGGCCTAAAATAAGGAGGTAAGAAAGCAGCAGCCTATCCTTCCACATGCCATCTTCAACAGAGTTTATTCCTTTTCGTAGCTGTAATGTGGCTGAAATTTGACTCTTTCAATTGATATAATAAGTCAAGACTCTCCAACAGAACTTTTAGATTGATGTAATAGATAGTCACAATAAATTGGATTATTTATTTCCTATAAATGGATGTGAGGATACTTGAGATCCTTTACATTCCCATAAACGGCTACGGACAACTTTGAAAACAGTCTGTACGAATCCACCTGAATAAGAGCATCGACTGTACGGTCCTCCTTTCAAATCCTAAACTCTCACGTACAAATTCTCTTTCATCTTCACCCCATCCCTAGCATCATTCGATTTGGTTTCTTCCTCCCTCACGTGTGACCGCAGCAAAAACATACGCTCGGTTCACCATGGGGTGTGGTGGGTCAAGGCTCGACAACAGAGGTGATATGTTGCCATCCAAACTAAGGCCTCTTCTCTGGAAGAGATATGAGGATATAAAAAGACAGAAAAATGGAGGTCTTTTGAAAGATTCACCCAACCATTCCAAGAAAGAACTGCTTAAAGATGGCGTCTTGGATGGTGATAACTCTAGCCAACATCATTTTCCAAGTGATAAAGATCGCAGGAGCATATCTTCACACGAGGATGATGTAAAGGTGGCACCAGCCCCAGAAATAGATGAAACAACAACCGAAAACCTTAAGATTGCCAAGGCTGTGGAATCAAACCCAGAATTCGACAAACAATGTGAACAAGTAAAGGACAACCCAGATGAAGCAACATTGCCTGCAGGGTCTATAGATGTGAAATCAAACGAAAAAAGCACACAAATTGAGGAGATAGAAAAACCAGGGGCAGGGTCTCAAGAATTGGCATCAGTAGCACCGGATAATGATGAAACAAGCGAAAAACAAGATAGTAAACACGGAGAAGATGCAGAGAACAAGACCTTGGAGGCAATGGCCTCGGCCCTGAAAAATTTTAATGAAACAGAAAAAGATGGAGATAAGGATGCACGGAATTCGGAACAAGAAGATAAAGAAGAGGGAAGGCTCAGCAATATGGATGAAAGTTACATATGTCCAGGATCGCCAAGTTTCAGAGTATATTTTGTTGAATCATTGACCACAGATGATGAAGGTAATTATCTTTAGTAGCAACTCTTATAGATTTTGACAATCTACGTGAGATTGAAAACTATCAAACCAATCAAAGCCACTATAAGTTTCCTCACTGTGAATGGTGGCCATAATGTTGCAGAAAAGGATGATGACGCAGACCGAAAATCATCAAGCGACCTGTACAGCTGCGAGATCATTGAATCCGTAAAATCTAATGTGGTATGGTTCTTATCAGCTCTGCAAGCAATCCTTAAGACTCTCTATATCTTTCTCAAAATGACCATAATAATAAACCACTGAGCAGAAATCTGATTTCGCATATTCACAAAAAAATAAGTATACAACTCAAAAAGAGCTTCTACAAATGTACATCTACCGGAACTTCCTAAGCAACCAGAAACTGAATTCAGAAAAATGAACATACTGATCAAAATTTACTACCTACACTTTCTTTCATTGAAAAAAAGCTTATATATATATATATATATATATATATATATATATATATTTTTTTTTTCTGCTTCAGCTTTCAGGGAGCATTGAAAAGAAGAAAGGAAAGAAAAGGCAAAGATTAAGGGTCATTCGTAAAGGAAAGAATCTGCTGAAAGTTAAATCATGCTACTATCCAAGTTGCTCGGGCGGCCATGATAAAGCTCGTCTTCTCAGCCATTAAAGGGTCGCTTGATTAGGCTAGGAAGAGTGAAGGAAGCTCTTAGATTTTTTTGAGTGTTCCCTTTTCTCCTTTTGTAGTCACGATTCCAGTTCTTTGCAATGATAGGAAATTTCTTCTATCAAGTGTTCTGTTTCACATTAACTAGTCAGCCATGAATATTATGTTTATATAGATACGAAGTACTGTGTTTTGAAAGTTTCTCCAGGCAATCATTTTCCTTGCACCAGCTACTTATGATGTGAAGAAATTTGGTTAATTTTGATAATTCTGACATAGTGTTCAATTGAAAATGACATTGTAAGGCAGCGGAATATACATCAGGAGTTCAAGACCATCAAAGCTTCACCTGATGTTTTATTTTTTGTGGTAGAAGGTTCACATGATGTTGAAGTTCCAAAGCACTGCAGTGCAATTTGGATCAGTTTTGCGGAACCTATTATCCTCAGTGAAAGGAATGCAGATTCTTGGACTTCAACAGAAACCTGAGTGTTCCCTTGATGAATTCCAGCAAGTGATCCAATTTGATCGGCTCAGAAGGTGCAAGTATCTGATCATATCCATAATACTACTCCAGATGTAATCCTTCATCAAAATATGGCAGAAGCTCAGTAAGACCCCGTTCTACAGCTCTCCATACCTGCGATTTTCGCAAGAGGAACCTACGCCTGACTCTATCCTAATATATATTGTTTTGCTCAGTCTTGCTTTTACTTTTTCCCCTGAAGATGTACAAACTATAGCTTTACGGTAACTAGTTTCATTCCAAGGACAGAAAACCTATCTGAAAAATCTTTTATGTGGTATTTCAGAAAAAGCTGACGATAGTGATTATACATCATAGCTTTCTCCAAAATATTCAATTGCTACTTATCTTATCAGGAGGCCAGAGACTCCGTAGAGGGATGATTAAACCTTCCCAAGTTCATTAGCATTTTGTATCCAAATCCTTCTCTCAGTGTCACCATCAGGTTCCCAGTTGAATTCCCGAGCGTTTTTAATCACAGCCCATAGTTTGGAAAAAGCAATTTTATTTCTAATCCAAGAGACCAGAAAGAGAAATGATGCATTCTATTTGTTTCTTTTGAATCTTGATATCCAAAATGCTCATGAAAAATCCATAAGCAAGGATCTATGATTGAAGTTTTCGAATTAGAATGTTGATTGCGTGATATATATATATATATATATATATATTATGTACTTTGTTCGTTACAAGCTCACGTTGAGTCGGATGCCTGTTGATAAACATAAGCATATATAGTGTTAAGAGATATTATTTTTTGACTTAGTTAGAAGAGAAAATGAGGGTTGAACTCTTAACCTTTTGATTATCAAATTTCTGATACTAAGTTTCAGTTGAAAAAGAAAGAGTGCAAAAAACCTGAGAAAGAAAGATCAGGCATGCAGTTGATATTAGTCTTACTTTATTGACTCATGCTAATATTTCCTTTCGGTTTTGGTCATATACTTTAAAACAACATGTTATTTGATTAATAGAATGCCAACATCTGTGTTGAATAATGCAAGTCTTTTTGAGAAATTATTTAGGACATCACTTGATTATAGCTTTTTAAAAGTTTTTGGTTATACTGTTTATCCTATGTTAAGACTATATAATCAACGTAAGTTTGCTTATAGAAGTGGACCTTGTGTTTTCTTAGAATATTCAATTAATCATCTTGGTTATTTGTGTTTTGATCCGAATATAAATAAGATTTATAACAGCAGACATGTGAGGTTTGAGGAGAGTTGTTTTATTCATAGATCAAGAGATGGTTCAGCTTCATCAGTACTAGAAAGACAACCGAAAGATCAGGTTGCTAGCGCAGCATGGCTAACTCTGTCTAATACCATCCCAGGTGTCTACAATCCTTCTTCAGGTATTAATTCTCAACGTTCTTCCCCACCTACAAACATTATCCTTATGGATTCATCAACTAATAACCCTATGTTACAGCCTCAGAACACTATTATTGATGAAAATATTCAGCTAACTGATAAGGTGGAGAGAACATAAATTTTGAATGTCGCAAAGGACACCAAGTGGCAGTGCTTGTGGCGACACCTATCTGTAGCTTTGGTGCGAAAACACCTAATGACTTTGAGGCCTAATCCTAAGAAGGAATAGGCTTATGTAGCCAGTAACAGTGACAAGCCTCATCTGCCGTGAGAACCAAGTCGCTACAATCAAGCACTAAAAACGGTCAGAATGGAGAGCTGCTATGTCTACTGAGCTTATAGCATTGATTTCTCATGGCACATGGATTTTGGTTTCAAAATCATCTAATGCTAATGGTGTAGGCAACAAGTGGATAGTCAAGCTTAAACATAAGGCAGATGGGTCTGTGAAATTAGTGGGAAAAAAGGGATATAGCAAGCACTATTCAGCTACGTTCAGCCCTCTTTTTTTTTTTTGGCCTGGCCTCTCTTTTATATATATATATTAGTTTAGCTTAATTTTTTTAAAAAATTAATAATCAATTAAAAAAATTTATAAGTTTTATTTACTTTTTTTTATATATATTTATTCAGAATTTATCATAATCAATTTTATTGTAGTTTTTATATTAATCTATTGACTTCGATATATTTCATATAACTTAGCAAGCCTAACCCTTTTTTTTTTTTGTTATTTTCTTCGTGTGTGTGTATATATTCATGAAATTAGGTGTGAAAAATATAGAAAATAAATCGTTTTTTTTTTTTTTAATTTTACGTACGAGTTTAAAAATGATAGAATATATATGATATTTTTTAAGATTTTAGTTTAAACATATATATATATATATATATGATTATATTACTCTTATTGTTTAAAATTTATTTATTCAATTATTTGTTTCTTATTAAAATTCTCATCAAATTAATTTTTTAATATAATTTTATTTATTAATAAATTTGGTTTTCTAATATATGAATTTTAGAATAAAATTTTAAAATATTGATGTTTTATTTTTTAAAAATATATTATTATAATTTTTAAATTCTGATTATATATATATATATATATATATATATATATATATAGAGAGAGAGAGAGAGAGAGAGAGAGAGAGAGAGAGAGAGAGAGAGAGAGAGAACTAAGAGTATGTTTGAAATAGTTTGGCTTAATTTAAAAAAAAACATTAATGTTCAGTTAAAAATATTCATAAGTTTTATTTGCTTTATATATATATATATATATATAATTTATCGAATCAATTTTATTATAGTTTTTATTTTAATTTATTGACTTCAATATATTTGATATAATTTAGCCTGACTTGGCTTTTCTTTTCCTTTCTTTTTTTATTATTTTCTTTATATATATGTGTGTGTGTGTGAAAAATATAGAAAATAAATCCTTATTTTTTTTTAGTTTTATGTATAGTTTGACGATGATAGAATATATATGATATTTTTTTAATATTTTAGTTTAAACATATATATCTCGATTATATTACTCTTATTATTTAAAATTTATTTATTCAATTATTTGTTATTAAAATTCTCATCAAATTAATTTTTTCATATAATTTTATTTATTAATAAATTTGATTTTTTAATATATGAATTTTGGAATAAAATTTTAAAACATTCGATGTTTTGTTTTTAAAAATATATTATTATAATTTATAAATTTTGATTATATACATATATGAGAGAGAGAGAGAGAGAGAGATAAAAGTATGTTTTAGATAGTTTGGTTCAATTTTTTTAGAAAAAAATCACAACTTTTATTTGCTTTTTTATATATATTTATTCAGAATTTATCGAATCAATATTGTTGCAATTTTTATTTTAATATGTTGACTTCAATATATTTCATATAATTTTAATAGGTTTTTTTTTATATATTTTTATTTATTTTATATACTCTGAATCTATTACGTGTGTATGTATATATATATATTTTTTGTTTAATTGCAACCAACAACATCTCGACCATCCACTAAAGCAAAATACAAAGCTATTGCTTATGTAACTCCTGAAATATTTGGCTCCTATCTCTTATTAGGGAACTTGGTCAACAAGTTAGCAACCCTACCGATACATATATATACACACATAACGTTGTTTAATCGCAACCAACAACATCTCGACCATCCACTAAAGCAAAATACAAAGCTATTGCTTGTGTAACTCCTGAAATATTTAGCTCCTGTCTCTAATTAGGGAACTTGGTCAACAAGTTAGCAACCCTACCGATCTCTAATGAGGGGACTTGGTCAGCAAGTTAGCAACCCTATCATCTTACGGTGCGACAATATTGGGCATACTTATCTTGCTATCCAGTTTTTAAGACTAGGAGAAATTGACTTGCACATCGTTAGGTAGCAAATGATAACATTGAAGTTCAATATATTTATAGCGACTGACTTTCACTTCATTATATTTACAAAGCCACTTGCTAGTGCCAGGTTTTTTACTTCTTAAAGACAAGCTTCGCATTATAGCCAACAATGCTTGGCTTGAGTAGGGGTTTTAGAAATATTATTCTGGTAATATCTGATTGTCACTTCAAATTCAAATAGAATTTAGTTATAGATAATGATAGGTTAAGAATTATATCTTATAGTTAGAAGGGGTAATATCTGCTGTAATCTGTATTTATATACGCGACAAAATTAATGAATACGATCTTATCTTAGGTTTTTCTGCTCTTCATCTTTCTCAAGTGAAACTTAAAAGGAATATCTAACTCCTTTTTTGTCCTGCAATTAAGTTAAGGTTGGGCCTGCAAGCCCCTCAATCTTATAAATATTTCTTAGCACAAACAAGAATCTACCAAGAACCATATCTCCCACGTAGAAAACTTAAATATATATGGCATAAGGAGATGCATGGGTTCAATGCGTACAAGAGGCAGGGACTAAACACATACAATCAGACATATATTTAAAGTACACACCATGTTAATACTTCAAAATGACCGCGCCTACAACAGCAGCGGGAACAAAGCCGAAAAACACAAACACCAAACTTCACTAGATGGAAGACTAACTGAATCATCAGCTGAACTAATGATCTCCCTTACATATTTGATCCAAAAGTTCAGACCATCATAAATATTAACAAAATAAAACTCGCCTTAGACAGATAAATCGTGCTGGATGAAGCAAGGGATAAAAAAGAAGGCTGCAAACTTGCAACTATTAAGGGGCTCGCACTTACCTAAACAGAAGGGAATGCAGCAGCAAGGAACTCCTCGTCCTCCAGAAAAGGTTGAAGATTATTGGATCTCATCAAGAACTGAACAGCTTGTTCATCAAAATTCAGCAGGAAAGCCAACTTGATCAGCTCAGAGAGTGGTTTTATTTGATGTTCTTTATTCCATAAAACACCGCGTGCTATTACTTCAGAAAAAAAGAACGCATATTCAATAAGATTTTTCTTGCCACCAGCTTTATCCATCTTCTGTGTGAGAAATTTTAACACGCTTTATCCCAACGAATCATATGGCTTGCTTTCACCTTCAGCATTTCCCCATCAGAAAACGATAAACTATAGCTTACAGTAATTGGCTTTGTAGTCTCCAGGACCTTGAGATTCAGGAGCCACTGAACAGCTCCATGCCTCTTTGTTGCTTCCATATCAAGAGAAGGATCAGCTAGAAAGCCAAGAATCAGTCTAACTAGCTCTTTTCCAATCCCAGCATCCCTTGAATCCATTTGACTAAGTTCCACACCATCTGCCAATGACAATTCTTCCTTCAGCACTGATTCAGATATAGTTCGAACCCCAATTTTCCTGTAGACTTCAAGCAACCTAGTTCGAGGCAAAGAAGGCAAGTTTGCCTGGGGACACCAGACAAAGACTGGGCGTGATGAGAACTTTTGTAAAAGGTCCTTCAGTAGAAGGTCATCAGCAATAAAAACATCACGCTTGCTGAACAACAAAATTTCACCAGAGTCTGAAACAACAGGTAGCTTTACCAAGACATCAGCAAGAGTCTTCTCTGTCCTTGCGCTCATGTGTGCCATAACACACTCCCAAAACGCACAGCACTCTGCATGTGGCAATGGGCCTCCCAAACTTTCCCAAACCTTCCAAAGCTTACAGTAATCGTCAAATGAAGGATTGGACCTAACCTTAAATGAACTGGAGAAGAAATGAAGTAATTTTGGCTCATAATGTTCCTCCAGTACATTCAGCTGTAGATCAAAGAGACCATCTCTGTCATGGAGAACACATTCTTCTGGGTTAACCCACCTTCCATTCTCAAGTCCATCTGGAATCCAAATCTTTCTGGTAGTCTCACTCTCTGGCTTCCACATATGTTGTCTAATCATATACTCGAACGATAGTGTCAAATTCAGAATGGGAATCAAGATGACTGGCAAGCAGTGAGCAAGCCTTACCTTCATCAACTCCGATTGCAATGAGCTCTTTTGCATACAATTTGATATTAGAACCATAAAAATCATCATCAATGAACGGCCCATCGGTAGGCTTCAAGTATGAACTCCACTGGGAATTGAACAAACAGCAGTTGCCCGGAGACCTGAAACCAGCATGGGTCTTTAACCATCGTCGATCAATATTTTTCCAGAAAGTCTCAGGAAAGGAGTAGTCCTTTTGTTGCAATAAAGCGCGGATGCATTCCAGGAATGAAAGCACATTCACAGGAGCTATGTCGCATGGATTTTGAGGAAAACAAAGACCAGCAGCCACAAACTTCACGCCAGCTTTAAATTCAACTACGATCCCCATTTTCTTCAGCTCCTTTTGATATTCATTAATGCCACTACCATAGTATTTGTCACTGTCATCAATAAAGGGAAGGCAAGTTATTGGATAAATTGACACCCACTCAGGACCAAACAGAATACAATTGCTTAGAGATCTATAATCACCAAGCCGAGTCCGCAGCCATTTCTCCTCACGGATGCACTTCTTAAGATCTAAAGGAAATTTGTGTGGACTTCCCTACAGCTTTCTGTAGCATGATATGAATGAAAATACATTTTCCTTCGTAATGGAAGACAGAGACGCCTGCTTCCTGAAAGTGCCAACAAACACTTTGACAGCATCCTCAAGTCTACTTGTACTCCCAGATCCTTCAACTCCTTTTTATAAGAAAAGATGTTGCTTCCATAGAAATTACTGTCAACCAATGCGAAACCACCAAAAACATCCAGAAGGCAACCCCATGCAGGATGAAACAAGAAACAGCCACCAGGAGATTTGTAACCGAAGTTTGTCTTTATGCATTTTGTACTCTTCAATACATTAACTTGTTTGTAAACAGAACTAGAGTGACGCATGCAATCCAAAACAAGAAGAAAGGCCTCCATTGTCAGACAAGATAAGCACGAAGGCGATTTTATGTTATCAACAACCAATTCATAACTTTCGCTGAAGCCAAAAATGACACCAAGCAACTGGAGTTCTTCTTAGAAAACAACGAAGTCTTCGCCATAGTAATCTTGATCAATGAAGGGGATGTCACTAATTTGCCTTGCAGTTGTCCACTCCTGACCATATAAAACAGATCCCACGGGAGATCTGTCACCCCTACAAGTCCTCAGCCACCTTCCTTCTTTAACTTTGAGAATGAATTTTTCTGTAGGGAGAAAATTCTGCCTCAAAAATTTGATGAAATTCAGTATGGAAATCACACTGCTTTTGGTTAGAGTGGATGAAGCTGATAAAGACATGAGATGATTCCCGATAAATTCACATGCCTCGCCATACTCGAACATGACTCCGACCGTCTTTAGCTCCTCTCTGTACGCGTAAATTTTATAACCATAAAAACTCTGACCTATCAAGGGAATATCAACAAGCACGGATCCATTCTGCAAAATGTATCCCCAGTTTGAGCTTCTGTTGGGTGAAGTAAGTAGGAATGACTGTGATGGTGGCTTGTAACCAGGAGAGCCATTCATAGTAATTTTCAGCCAGCTACCCTCCTTTATGCATGTCATGAACTTTGATGGAATGCTTCCACTCCGTTTCAGCTCACGAATCCAATCCAACAGAAGAAATGCATTCTGTTTGGTAAGTGGTGTTGATGCAGTAGGTATTCCAGCATTGGGAGGACATATGTGAGGAATATCAGAAGCTTGAAGGAACTCCAAGAGTTGCTTTCCCACTGTGCTTGTGCCAGCAAAATATCCAGGATCCAAGTAGTCTTCTCCTAACTCAACTAAGCTTTCTCCCCTCCATGCAGGGCCGGCTCTATAATATATGTGGCCCTAGGCAAAATAATATTTTAGACTCTTTCTTAAAACAAATAAATATTAAATATTATTTAAAATTTATTTTTCTTGCTTTCCGAGATGCAAAATATCTAATTAAATTTTTGTATTCAAGTTTACAAAGCAAATCTTTTTCAATTGATAATATAGTCAAATTACTTAATCTTTCTTGTGACATAGTTGAACGTAAATAAGATTTTATTAATTTTAATTTTGAAAAATTTCTTTCAGCCGAAGCTACGATAACATGGATAATTAATAGTATTCTATATGCTCTCTATGCATTTGGAAAAGAATTTACTTTTTTTATAAATTTAGTACGACAAGTGGTGTTTTCATTTTCATAGTTATAATTTCTTTTAAAACTTTTAATTCTAAAAATAAATCTAAACCATCAATATTAGAAAGCATATCGTGCTTTAGAAAGTTTTCAAGATTTAAACAATTTTTTTTCAAAATATCATCATCGAGTGATTTTAATTTTTCTACACTATAAAGAAAATCAAAATTATCTTCATATATTTTAAATTGTTCAAACCTATTTTGAAGAGAGGAAATCGCATGATTAACTAAATATATAAAATAATTAATTCTAAAGGATTCTTCAATAGATAATTTCATGTCTTCATTTTCAATCTCATCAAATTGTTTCTTTCTTCTTATTGTACGCTTTTCACGAAATTTTGGTTCTATATTCATTTGCTCTGCAATTTCCTTAGTCAAGATCATAGAAGATGTAAACCTATTTTCTCTATAGCTTTTTAAAAAAGAAATAAGATATTTCAAGTGGTCTATTGCAAGAGCAATATCCATATCTTTAGATTGTAAACATTTACTAACCGTATTTACGACAAACAACATATCACAAATAATCATGCCTAATAGAAATTCAAAATTTTCAATTTCATATGTTGCTAAAGAAATAGCTTCACTTTTTGTTTTAGGATTCTCACTAGTTTCTGCTAATTGATATAAAGCATCTCTTATTTGCTGAGCTTGAAATTTAATTGCTTTTACACTTTCAATACGACTTTCCCAACGTGTTTGTGATAATGGCTTAAGTGTCAAATTAGAAACATGATCTAGCAAAATTTTCCATCTTTTTGTAGAAGAATAAAATAATGAATATATACGTTGTGTCACTCCAAAAAATGTCATAACACTAGCACATGAATTAGCTATATCACAAAGAACTAAATTAAGATTGTAACAGACCATATGATGTATAAAATGCTCTAGAATTTATATCTAATAATCTTTTTTGTACACCTTGATGTTTACCTTTCATATTAGACCCATTATCATATCCTTGCCCTCTCACATCATTTACATCAAGTTCAAGAGTTTTTATCTTACTTGTAAGTTCATTAAAAAAACTTTCACCGGAGTTATCATCCACTTTTAAAAAAATCTATAAAATACTATTCTATTTTTATTGAAATTGTCGAAATATCTACACATCTTAATATAAGATGCATCTGTTCTTGATGACTTGCATCCGGAGTACAATCAAGTATAATTGAAAAATATTTTGATTCTTTGATTTTTTTGATAATGGTATTTCTTATTTCTAATGCTAAAATATTTATCAACTCATTTTGTATATTATGACCAAGATAATGCATATGAATATCTCCATTTTGAATACGTCTAAGGTGTTCTTGCATTATTGGGTCAAACTCGAGCAATCATTTTAATTAAACTCAAAAAATTTCCATTATTGTCCCGATAAATCTTCTCATTTGTACCACGAAATGCTAAATTATTTTTTGAAAGAGCTTTTACAACAGTAATAATTCTTAATAATACATTCCTCCAATGCTCTTTCTCTTTATTTATTTTCTCTTGTAAATGCTTATCAATTGTTTTGTTTTTAAGCAATCTCATCTAATAAATTTGTTTTATGTGAGAAAGAGATGGGCTCTCATCAACCCATTCAGCAACTATGTATCCAAGATTGCAGTGTGGACAGGGCTTGTCATTGAATCGGATCTGATAGCCATTGCTGAATATGTAAGGCTGAGCAGCAATAAGAAACACACTCTTGAACCCAATTCCTGCATACCAAACCAAAACAAGGTTTATTAGAGCAGCTTTGAAGATAAACAGGTGAAATTCTTTCTGTAAACGTACATAAATTAATTTTAAATTCAGTCTAAATATATTTTGAAACATATTTCCACAAGTCTACCGCAGATTTCAACAGATTGAAAAAAGTGTTTGGTCTCTTTCTATGTCTCTGGAGGTCTGCATACTGTCAATAATGTTGAATATGTAAGTGTGCACAAGTTATAAAATACAAAGCACAAGAAGGGAAAAGTACCTTTCTCCCCAATATAACCGCGCTTCCGGTTCCCTTTCTTTGTGGAATCTCCAACACTGCAAATGGACTCGATATTTTTAGCAGAAAAGCCCTTCTCGTTATTGAACATGAGCAAAGTAGCAGGTGCACCAGTATTGGTTATATCGCGAGATGCTATGACAAACTCAAGTGAAGGATCCACCCCTTCCAAGTATTCATTGTCTTCCGCATTCTGTGCAAGGAAAATTCACCTTGGAATCAAAGGATGCTAAACTACGCATATTTATATCAGGTGGAAATAACTGCTACCACAATTAAAAGATCCAAAATTTAACATGAACAATAAATACTTGATGCACAGATTTTATCAACTACTCAATGGATTAAATGGGTATAATATACCATTTTTATGATCCGATAATGAAAATTCAAAGAGAAAAAACAATCAGCCAACACAAATTCAAAGAGGAAAAAAAAAAGATCAATGGCAAACATAATATATAAAGAAAAAACCATACAGAATGAAGCATACTAAACAACATTCTCTGATATAAAGAAAAATATAGACATATGGGAAAACGTGAAAAAGAAAGAAAACCTGAATGAGTTCCATGAGAAAGTGGAAATCTTTAGCGTAGAGCTCAGCAGCGAAATACTTGACAGCCTGATCAAGCATTGGAGCCAAAGGGTTATTTTCTCCTCCTATCGAGAATGTCGTTTTTCTTATCTGCCCTATGTGTTCTTTTGGAGTCCCCATTCTTGCTCTTGCAAACAGAAAAGAAGATAAAAAAATACCCAGAAACGAAAAGAAAAAAAAAAAGATAGAAAAACAAGAAGTTGAGTAGTTACAGAGAGAAGAAAGCAGAGGTTTTGAAGGAAACAAAGAAACAGAGGGGTAGCTAGTAGTAGCAGTAGAGTGAATAGTAGTGAAGTGGAGGGATATGGGGAAACTAAAAAGACTTCTTCATGAGGAAGGAAACTTGCAGGGAAAGTACCAGGGAGAAAAACAAGACGACATTGACTAAAAAAAGAAAAAGAAAAACGAAAATAAAGGAATTAAAGTGGAAGGAGCATGTTGGACAAAACGATTTAAAAATAGCTTGAACTTTCCATTAAATTGAGATTTTAATTCGAATATTAAAAACTAGTTTTTTTTACGATGAAAATTAGATTTTTCATTAATTTTAACCACATATAAAGTAGACTTAACTTGTGGAGGGAGGAGTTGCGAGAAAAAAGAGGAAAAAAATGACTTGAAAAATAAAAAAATTATTATAAAAAAATAGTAATAATAGTAGAATTAAAGAGAAAGATAATAAGAAAAGGAATTCATTATAAAATAAAGTGAATATAATAGATAACAATTTTAAATAATTCTCTCAATCTCTATAAAATACTTATACATAAACTAATAAACAATCAAACCTATTTATAGGTTTTAAGATTAGGAAGATAATTGAAAAGGACCATAAACTCGTTAAAAGATGTATAAATAATTGAATAAATTGCATCACTCTTTCAATTTTTCACATTGAATAGTGAATCGAATCACATAAGTAGTGAGAATATGAAATGGACATTCATTAATGTCCATTTCATAATATTCTCCCTTGAATATTCGTCGTACAAGGAACATGTCTCGTTAAAACCTTGGAAAAAACCCAATGCAAAAAAAATCCTAATGAAGACAAAAGAGTACAATATTTCTTTTACACATTAATCTCAATGTTGGGCTCTCCCGTTGAAAACATCATTTAAGATCTTTAAGACGATATATTTCAATCTTGTGAATCATCTTTGAAAAAGTTGTGGTAAGTAATGCGTTAGTGAATAAATCTGCTTGGATTGTCACTTGATCAAATTCTTCCTTTAATTAAATTATGTAAGCGATATTATCTTCATATGATATTGTTCAAACTTCTTTTACTAGTAGATAAATTACATGTCTCTCGGATATAATAGATCATTGATCTTAGCCAAACGCATTCTCAACTTGCCTCATGATATTTAGCAGCCTATAGTTTGCTTCATATAACGTCATGATATAGTTGTACCATCAAGTGTAGATACTTAACTCGTTTATAATCGAGTTTTGTATGGATCAAATAAATAACTTGTATTTACATAACCAATTAAACCTAATTTTGATTTATTTGAGTAAAATAAATATCATATCAATTTTTCTTTGAGGGATAATATAGGAAATGTTTAACTCCATTCCAATGTCGTCGTATTGGAGCATAACTTATGTCTTGCTAATAAATTTATAGAAAAGGCTATATTAGGCCAAGTATTATTAGCAAGATATATCAATGCACCAATTGCACTAAGATATAATACTTTAGGACCAAATGATTCTTTGTTATCTTCTCAAAGTTGAAAAATGGTCTTTTTGGATATCAAATAAACAAACTACCATTAGGCTAATCAATGGATGAGTTTTCTATCATTGTATAACTTTTGTATATAAATTGACTGATGAATAAAAATCTTGTTCTTTAAGTGCTCAAACTACGAGTCGAGATAAAAATTTATTTTTTCAAGGTATTTCATATCAAATTCTTCTTTTAGATAATTTATGGTATTTGAAATCTATTCGGGAGTTCCAATAATATTTAAATCATCAACATATATCGCAACTATCACAAAACCCTTAAAAAAAATTTTTTTAATAAAAATACATGAATAAATATGGTTATTTTATAACCTTCTTTCAATAAATATTTATTGAAACAATTATGGACACAGAGTTAGTAATAAAGAATAGATATTGAAAAATAAAAAAAAATAAAGATAAAAAGTATAGCATAAATTGAATTTCTAAAAACTAAAATAATTTCGGTAGAGATCTCTATAATTTAATTGAATTTATTTCTCAAGAATATGTATTTCATGCTTCAAACTTACTAAGTCCTTCTAGGACTTTCATAGAGATATCATTTTTAACTAAACAATTAAAATGTGATCAAATCCATTAACTCGTATACATATAAAGTTTTTCATATATTTTGTCGAGCTAACAAGATAACGAAATGTAGTTACATCTATTACAAGATAATTTATCTCTTCATAGTCAATGTCGAGTCCTTGTGAAAACTCTTATGTTACAAGTCTTGCTTTGTATCTCATAATCTCATATTTTTTATTTTGTTTTCACAAAAATACTCATTTGTATCACACTAACTTAACATCTTTATGTGTTTTAACTATAAGTTTAAAAACTATTCATTTGTAAGACAACATAATTTTGCCTGGATTGCTTTTTTGATTTAGACCAATCATCTTTATATCAACATTCTTTAATAAATTTAGGCCCGGGAACCTTATTTTCATTCAAAATATCAATTGCAACATTATATGTAAAAATCTTATCAATATATGTTTCTTGTTAGTCCTATTTTCTCCTTGTATTGACACAATTGATCAAACTCTCTTAATTTTTCTCAAGCATTTAGACTTCTTATGAAAGCCTATTATCAAAAATATCATGGGCCATTTTTGTATATATTTGCATCCTTTATATTTTCATCTTGATTATTTGCCCATTTCTTTTAGGGATTTTTGTCTTTAGAACTAATTGGCCTTTATAATATTAATAGATTATCCTTTTAGGATGTCAATTCTAATAGGAGCATTCTCAGCAGAGACATGCATTTTAGTTACTCATTTAGGATCCGAGAATGCATCCGGTAGTTAGTTTGTAATACTTTGTAAATGAATTATCTTTTGAACTTCTAGTTCACATTATTTATACGAGGATCAAGATGATGTAAGATAGAGTACTCCATGTAATATCTTTTTTTCAATATTTCTAATCGCTTACTTTGCTTATTCTCCCCCCTAATGTTGGAAAAACTATTTCATCAAAATGACGAGTTGATAAATCGATTTATAAAAATATCTTTTTTTCATGGTTCAAGATATTGAATTTATTAAAGAGGATTCAAATCCAACATATATTCTCAATCTCCTTTAAGTGCTCATTTTAGTTTGTTATGTAGGAGCACTATAGATATATACTCGTAATGTCAAAAATTCTTAAATAAAAAATATTTGGCTCATGACTATAAATTAATTGAAAGGGGAGAGAATTTATGATAAATTATAGGTCCGATGCGAATAAGTATTGATGTATGTAAGATTGCATGTCTCCAAACATAAACATAGAGTTTTGTTTTTAAATAATGGTTTAGCTATCAATTGGAGCTTTTTGATAAATGATTTTGCTAAACCTTTCTAAGTATGAACATGAGCAATAAGATGTTCAACCTTTATTCTAACATCCAATTAATAATCATTTAATGCTTAGAAGATAAATTCATCAGTATTATCAAGGTGAATTGTTTTAATGGCATAATTTAGAAATTATATTTGTAATTGAATTATTTAGGTTGACAATCTCAAAAACGTCGGGTTTTGAGTAGATAATAAACATACATATAATCATTTTGTAGATGCATATATTAAAATCATAAAATATTTAAACAGTATACATGGTGGATGAATTGATCCACATATATCACCTTGAATATATTCTAAAAATATTGGAGATTCAATCTCAATTTTACTTATGATGGCTTAATAATCAATTTATCTTGAAAACATGCGAGAACTTGAAAATTCATTAAATTGAAGGATCTTTTGGCTCTTCAATAGATTTCCATATGAATTTTTAATAATGTTTTACATCATGAAAGACCTAGGATAACACAATTGATTATGCCACTTAATAAAAGTATTTGAATTAGTAAATTTTTAGTTTACTACGGTATTTGTTTCAATCATTCCAAAAGAAAAAGTAAGTAAATTTTTTAATATGTATTTTCTATCCTATATAATAATTATAATATATAAGTATTTAATATTTTTCACATTTGTTATCTTGATATGATATCAATTTAGATGAATATATTTGGAACTCAATAAATTTTTATGAGACTTTAGAGAGAATAGTATATCATTTATAATAAAAATTATCCTTTCAAATAATAAGATATTTGCTCTTCTAGAGCTTTTAAATTATGTCACTCGCAAGTAATAATATATACATTCTTTTAGAGCCTTTAAAATTTATCTCTTCAAGTAATTATACATTTGCTTTTCTAGAGCCTCAAAAATTTATCTCTTCAAGTAATAATATATTCGCTTTTTAAAGTCTTTAAAATTTATGTCTTTAGGTAATAATATTGTCGCTCTTCTAGAGCTTTCTATTAGATTGATATTATCATATATAATATTAATATAGAATAAATAATTAAATAATAAATAAAGAAATATATTCTTCATAAATAAATAAATAAATAGTAAAATAAATTTATATTTATTTCTATGCAATAGAAATCATAAAAAAATATAAAACATCTTATTTATAAATAAAAATGCTAACCGAGTTATTAATTTTAATTACCATCATTTTGATATATAAAATTGACCTATATATTTTACTCTATCTTTTTCAACGAGGCTTGATAAGGCTCAATGAGATACTTTAGTGTACAACGGATATACAACCAATGTCTATTCATATCATATCTATAATATTTATTTTTAAAATACTGACTTAATCTATTTTTATTATTTTTTTCATTTTTTTTATAGTTTATCCATTTCTAGTGGTGAAATATATTATCATGATCATCATAATTATAATAATTATTATTTCGACCACGTCCATGGTTATGATTACGTCTTCGTTCGTGTCTAAAATTATTATAAATTATCATATTCACTTTAGGGAATGAAGTAGATCCAATTGGA